TTTTTTTTATCATGTCCACATGCAGAGAATCTAGTTTTAAGGTGAATTTAGACCACACATGAGCGTGGAATCTCTCAGAGTTCCAGCTCCCTAGCTTCTCCTGTTCTGGAGTTGAAAGTGGGTGACAAAGTTCACTCGCTCACATACACACACACACACACACACACATTAACAAACACACTCACAATCTCTTGATAGTATGCATTTGGTCATTTATGCAAAGCGCATTGCCATCTTCACATTTATCACCTGTCATGCATTTTGAGTTAGCGGATTGGCCTCTGCTTCAATTCTTCAAATTTATGACCAAACGGGCGAGTGTGTTGGGGATTTTGGGAGCGCTTTCCTCAGCTGTATACTTAAGATGAACATTCTCATCTTCCTGTTGGTGTGGACACATACAGTTTTCACTGTCCAGTCGTGTTATACAACTATGCACCTGTAAAACTTGCTTCGTGTATTACTGGAAAAAAAGGCCATTCTCGCAACATGAGTTCATTGGCATGCGACGTTCTTTTTAGAGCATAAAAGGCGATATTAAACGTTTTTTGTTTTAGGGCAAAAAATCTTAATTTTGTTCAGTTGACGCCGAATAATTGGAGCTGTGATGAGTGTGCAGTAAAATGGGCGACTATGCTACCTCGTCACCTGCAGCTACAATTCACCTCTTGCGGTGACATTCTCCAGCAAAGTGACTGTTCCATTGGTTCGTTTATGTGCAGTTTTTTGTGCATTTTACGCTGTGTAACAACAGCAGAAAACACATATTGTCAGGCTCCTGCTTGTGTGTATGTTTATGTTTGTATTTGTGTCCGGGTTTGTCCCGCACTTTCATTTCGGAAAGCACAAAAACTAGAAAGCTGAAATTTTAGGGGAATGTGCCTTGCCCACATGTAACTCCGCAAATTTAAATTCTTCCTTCATTTACCCCTGGTTACCATGTATGCTCTCGCCAAAGTTTTGGCGGGAGAATTGTCTCGGGACCATAAAAGCTAGGGAGCTGAAAATTTAGTGTAATTTTCCTCGCCCAAGCGCAGCCTCACATATTTAAATTCAACCTTCACCTATACTTGGCCACCTCGTACCGCCCCGTGAAAGTTTTGTCGAGAAAATCATTATCTTAGAAAGCAGAAGAGTCTGTAAGTTGAGATTTCAGGACAATATTTTTTGCCTAGGACGGGATTTCACAAATTGAAAGTTAGCTCCGATTTTTGCCTAGTTATTACGTATCCTAGGCGCCAGACAATATATCGAATATTTTTGCATAATTGTATGAAAATTTTTAACAGCAGAATTCCGCTGGATGGGACTGCGCAAAACGCATGATCGCACCAGCTGTCTTGTTGCGCCCGGCCATTTATTTTTTATGCATTTGATGAGCGTTGTTCGTCATAACGCAATGGGGCTTATCGTACAAAAAGTCATTCGTTTCAATGGTAAATTGATGCTGGCATTTGCTAGATAGTTAAACCAACCGTAAGCTTGCTTTTAAGCAACTCTCGAAAGAGAAGACTGTCGATAGCTTTGCTAGCGGATGGGTAAGAATCAACAACGATTGAGAAATGATAATCGTGTGAAATTTTGTGTTCCAGACCTGTGACATTAGCTACTCTCTTATAATATAGTAGACTCGATTAGTGTTTATCATTTTCTGCAAATTGGAACTTTACGAAATTCAGTTTCAATATATCTCTGATATTATAATTTATTTTAGTTACTTATCATAACAGAATAGTATATCTCAGGCTGTCTGACAGCTCGG